TAAATTCAGATAGAAAATACTAAAGAGAAAATTTTCACCTATACAGAATATATACAGACCTTTTTTGTCATTATTCCCTAAACAATGCAGTATAACAACTTTTTGCATAACATTTCACATTGTATTAGGTATTATAAGCAATATAGACATGATTTAAGGAGTATGGGAGAATGTTCATAAGTTATATGGAAATACTACAGTATTTTATATAAGGATTTGTGTAACACAGATTTTAGTGTCTACAGGAATTTTGGAACCAATTCTCCATGAGTACTAAGGGATGACTATATAAAAGTAGAATTTGAAATTGAAAAACAAAACATTGGAATTTATAGCTAAATCTAAGGTCTATTTAACTTAAAATATCAACAAAGTCTAAACACTTGGCAGTTCAATTTAGTACAATATTTCATAAGAACTACAGTTTGATAAAAAGAAGACTCCTCACATGTTTCTTGTTTTATTGGCTGTGGTTTTGTTTTATTATTAGCTTCCTTACTTATTGATTTTAATATTCCATTTATTGTTTTTAAGCTTTTTTATCTTTCATCAACCTAATTCATTTCTATAAAATATAAAAATGCAAAGTCCACAAGATTATTTTGATAAATTTAGACATTTGAAAAAAAAATTTTCTGACAATCACTCTTTGAAATAATAATAGAAAAATATTTTTGTTTTTGCTCAAATTGATTTATAATCATAAATATTATTGAAATATTGTAGCACTAGATATTCTGTTTATTTAAACTCTTAAAAACTCATAGCCTACACAGTATGAAAAGAAAAATAGATATGAATATTAAAAAGCAGTAACTAAACATGAGCATTTGCAGATAATGTGAATAAAACTAAATATAATATAAAATAAGTATTTTAACATTGAAATCTGAATTCCATCAATAAAAATTCAGGAAATATAATGGAATAAATTCCATTATTATTATGCATATATATAGTTCTCAAACTTCAGTGTACCTACAGATCACTTAAATATCTTTTAAAAATGTACATTCAGTAGGTTTAAGGTGGGAATCAAGAGTTTGCATGTCTAAAAAACTCTTGTGCTGATTTTGATCATTCTTTGAGTGGTACATATGTGTGTATGTGTGTGTGTGTGTGTGTGTGTGTGTGTATAGACATATATTCTCATGTATAACTTTACAACTCAAGAATTAACAATAAATTAGAAAATTTTCTACTTTTAAAAGGTTATTGTTTAAAATATTACTGGGAGACATTAAAAAATAAGTAAAGAAAAATGTCACATTCCTGAGAAGACAATTATATAAATATATCTATTCTTCCCATTTAATCTAAGATCTTTAGCTTAGCATCAATTTTAGAAAAACAAATAATGTTTTTGTAATTTAAGAAAACAAAGTCTAAAGTTTATCAGGAAGAATTAATATACCATGTTAACTAACAATTTTTTTCACAAAGAGAACATGAGACAGCTTTTTCCCTTCCAAAAATTAAAATGTACTGTAAATTAAAAACAAGACAGTTTTAGTGCAGTGCARTGGTACCTGCATGTAATCCCAGCAGCAGAGGAGACTGAACCGGGAGGATCGCAAGTTCAAAGCCAGCCTCAGCAATTTAGTGAGACCCTGCCTCAAAATGAAAAATTAAAAAAGGTTGAGGATGTGGCTAGGTGGTTAAGCACCCCTGGATTAAATCCCCAGTACAAAAAAAAAAAAAAAACATTTCGGCCAAAGAAATAGAAATTGACATATTGAAAGCATAGAATACAAAGTTCAGCCATAGACTTAGGTGTGCATGTGAATTTAGCGTATGACAAAAGTGGTATATGATTTCACTGAAATCATTTTACAAGTGAATTTGGAAACCTGGGATAATTACTGAAACAGACTTACTAACCTCACTGTTTTACAAACTTAGAATGTAATAAAACATGCATACATCCACGTATCAAATTGTGTGAACAGTAGTATAAAGATAAAATTTAAAGAATCCATAAATAGAAATCATTAAAAGCAAATTTATACCATATATTGGAAATTGGTTTTTAAAATAATTGTTTATCTCTTATAAAATTTATTATTTTACACAATCTCATTCTCTGAGAATGGGGCTAATCAACTGAGTGAACAATGATTTGTCTGTTACTAACACTAACTCCATTCCTTTGACTTCTATAATTTAGCTGTTCCCTCTAACATAGTTTTTGTTTTTGACCAAAAGCYCTATCAGCATAGCTAAATCAGATTTATTTCCTCTGTGATAAAATCAAACTAATCAGCACAGAGACCTCTCTCTGATTACAATTATAGCTTTTTTTCACAGTAGCCCCAGCAAGAGTGTCCATTTTGATCATAGCCGGCCTCCTGTGTCTCCCCAAATGGCATCAAATGACAAATGATTAGGAACTTTTTAAAGGACAAATCATCATTTCCTCTACAAGTTGTATACAACATAAAATATATTTTTAAAAGGATATTCCATTTTAGAAAGCATCAATAAGATGATAAAATTGTAAAAACTACATGTTACAATCACCACTAGCATATGCATGCCAAATATCTAATAGGGGCATATGACAAACACACAGTGAATAATTATAAGAGAATAAAACATAATAGACTGCCAGATGTTACTCCTCTTTAAAAAGTTTCTAATTCTTTTATAACTGCACCTTCAGGCAGAGACTGGGACTGGATCTTCTTTGGGTCTTTCTGAGGAAGTTGGGAYTTCTGTGGTTCTGGTCAGGCAACATCATGGTCAAAAAACGAGTCTAACAACAGGATTCATATTCTCTGCTTGTATTTCTTCATCAAAGAAGGCTCATAATTATAAGCATTTTTTCCAATTTTAATCCTTTTTAAAAATCTTATTGAAACAATTTCCACAGTATCTACCAATTCTCATTACCCACAAAAAACTCCTCTACCTACATCCAAAGTCACTTTGATGATGCCTCTTTTTAAAGTTTTTCCCTATCTACTTCTCCTGTTCATGGCATTCAATTGTTTTCTCCAATCCAATCAATTTTTGTCACAATAAATTATTTGACACAGCAATATCTTGGAAAGTAGTTTAGCAGAACCAGAATGTTATCTTATGTTTCACCAAAATGTTATCTTATGTGTCAAGGAATATCCAAGTCTAGAAACATCCACTCATTAAGGACTTTGTCCCATCACATTTGTAGATGGTTACTAAATGTGCCTAAGTGAATCAATGACTGTAAAGTAAAAGGAGAGAATTAATTATGATGTGAAAGAAAAAAATTTGGTCAGAAACAGAAAATCCAGGCCCTAGTCTGAACACTAATCTTAGCTATGTTCTGTTGCTTTTATAAGATTGTTTTCACATGGGATAAAACATGTAAACATGGTTTGTAAACATACTTTTTCTAAATCAATAGAAAGTATCAGTGGTAGATATTTGTAGTTTTACATTGACATCAAATGAACCCATGTTATCATTTTAAAATTCCCACATTTTACTAAGAACTCACCAAAGAAAATGACCTATATTCTTAGGGTTTTAATGTGCTAATTTTCACAAATTATTAGCTGCACAATACAACAAAATATCATTAACTCAGACTCTCATAATTTGGAATTTATCACAATAGATGCATTAAGGTATAAATAATATAGACCTTTGTGGCTAAAGAAGGAACCACAAACTTGAAATAATAACTCTTCAACTAATTATGTATAATTTTAGAAATTTCTCTTAAACTCTCTGGTTTGGGTTTCTGTTTAAAGTGAGCTAAATTATACAATCAATCTATTTCATCACCATATAATTCTACAATTCTTCATAAGCTGGATAGATTTTTTTCCATTTTTGCCTTTTCATATGCAATGTTTCTGGAAATGAAATTATTTCAGTCTGCATGTTTTTTAACCCAAAGTTCATAAATAGCCCTGAAGAGGTCACATGACTTACCTAAAGTTGGGTGACTTTTGTATGCATTTTTKGGGGGGACAGAGGTTTATAGCTTTCATCTGAAAATCAAAAAGTTCTGTGCACCTTTCAAAAAAAGAAAAACACATTAAGAACAAGTTACTTCAATAATGAACTAATTCCAAATTATTATCAGCTTGCAATAACAAGCTCACAAAGTGTTACTTAGTAAGCCTTTATCATTTCCATAACAATTTGAACAGCACATCAAGAAGCATAATAGAAGCTACATTCCAAACTTTCACCAACTGACTCTTCCCATCTGATGATGGGGTACAAAGTACATCTATCCAGTTCACATCATTATATTGAATGCCTTGAACATTGCCTACCTCTAACAGTCTCACGGGAAGCAAGAAGGAAAATGTCCACCCGTTTATTTCTAGAGGGGAAAGATAGCTGAGGTGTAACCATATTCTCACCTGAGTTGGACTGTGATTACAGAACTCTAGAAGATAATGGAAGAGTCAGCTGGCAAGGATGAACAAATCATCTCTAAGTTAACCCTTATAATTTCAGTCAAGAAAAAGAGGGGACCCAAAGTCCCAAAGTAAAGTGGGATCTTACCAGTTCATGCCACTACATCATCTAGCAGGGGTAAGACAAAACCTAATTATGAAATTCAAATRAGCATGTCACCCAAATTGCAATTCATTTCTTTTAATTGAAATTCATCAGTCAACAACTTCCTCTTTTATTAAAAGTAGAYTTAACATAAAATTGCATAAATATGAGTTTTACCTGATTTATTAACATAAGCAAATAAAATAGCATGTCTTATATGAGGTATAGGTTTGAATTCAAATTCTTTGTCATTATCAGGCCTATAGAAGATATTCAGTAGCATAAAGTTGCTTATGTGACACAAACAATTTGCTTTTCAAGAATGCTTATTTGTCTTAATTGACAATTACAGAAAGAAAGGGCTTCATTCATTAGTCTTTTTTAAAAATAGATAATATATAAAATTGATTTAATGCATGTGATTTCATTCTTCTACACTTCTGGTAATTGTCTTTTAAAAATCTAATAATGTGTGCATTTCATCTGTCTTTTCTCAGGAGTATTGTTCTAAACCCAGCCTATTTCCGAAACCATCTTCGTCAAGCAACAGTGTTTAGATGTCTGGAGAGATATTCAGAAGCTGCCCGGTATGTTTGTTATAACTTTGTGAAGATTTATTTGAAGTTAAATTAATTTTGTTCCCAGATTCTGGTAATAGCATAAGAGAACTTTCCATTTCTCTCATGGAATATGATTTTACCCAAATTATTGTCTTATAAATGTCAAACCACCAATTATTGACTATCTTTTCCTTTAATTAAAGCTATTTCTTGTTCATAACTCTTAGCAAATTCAAACTTTCCAGTCATGAGGTCACTGACAATGATGGGAAAACTTGCACAGATAGTAGAAATGAACTTGACCTCTTACTCTGGAGAACATTCCTGGTCAAGATTGTAATGACACAATTCTGTGACTCTTGTGYTCTGACAATGAAATCCATTCACATGGAAAGGATCCCAGCAGTCCATTTCTAGAGGAGGTGGTATCGATTCAGTAACACCAAGGATTGTTAGTATTGTTTCTTGGATCCCAATGTGTTTTCAACAGAAACCTAATGAAGCAGCTCCTAATATTCTCATCCCAAGAACTTAGACTATGACAAAAACTGATAAAAGTTTTATAACAGAGGCTGGAGTTGGGGCTCAGTGGTAGCGCACTTGCCTGGCATGTGTGAGCCACTGGGTTCAAGTCTCAGCACCACGTATATATACATAAATAAAATAAAGGTCTATCAACAACTAATTTTATACACACACACACACACACRCACACACRCACAYATACATATACACTATACTCTGAATTCCTTCTCACTTGTAACAACCAAGGCGTTTTTTCTCCCTCTGGGATCAAGCTTATTACAACCCTCTCTCTCAAATATATAGAATGCTGATTCTTACTCAATTTTACCAGTCCAGGAATTCAGTGATAAAAAAATGAGTAATTTCTGGATTTAGGCTAAGCATAACACCTAAGGATAAATCTACGGTAACAGGCATGGGATGCCTAGGTCGCAGATAGCTACYGTCTCTAGAACATTCGGAAATAACATTTTCTTTGAAACTGGAAACAGGAGTCAAAGTGGGAAATGAAATGATTCCATAAAATTGAYACTGTGAGGTTGATGTGACTTCCATTCATGTAAGATGGTTCCAGGAGTTGCCTGAACTCAATTAAACATTGGATATGAAAGGCAAAGTGAATCCCAACTGCTGTCACTTTGCAGTCAGACAACAAATATGGCACATCAGCTTTTYGTCTGTCTCCATCATTCTTTTTTTGCATTCMATTTTCCCCATAATATTCCTTAAATGTGTTTTACCTAGTATACTCACATATACTAACTGTGTGAATGACAGAGAAATTAAGAGATGATAATAAGCACCCTTCTGTCCCACACTTCAAAAAGYGGATTTTTATAAAGGTCATCAGCTGCAAACAAAATTAATATCAAGATTCAGCATAAACAGCAAATAGGCATCTATAAAATGGCATTCCTTAAGAGGTGGTTTGTTAATGTGTCTTGAATCCAACCAAAAGATCAATAAAAAACAAGCTATACCTTCAGAACTAGAGTGTAACTAATAGAGAAACTGCTAGGGGTATACTTGTGCAGACTTGCAAGAACAGCTGCTTATATAATCAGGATTTGGGGAGGATTGTTAAACTGTAGGAGAAATTAGAAATTCTGGGRGAAAGTTCTATGGAAATTGGCAAATGCTACAAATCCAGGGTTCATTATTTGTTTATATTAAGACATAAACTTTTTTTTAAAGACCTAGGTACTAGCAAACCATTGACTAGTACTTAGAACTGGTAAAATGGAGTACGAAATAGCTTCTATACATTGAGAGATGGGGAAAACTCTTTTTGAGAACAGGATTCTGTTACCAAAGTGGTAACAAATTCTTTATGGGTCCTAAAACAAGCAAGCAACAAGAAATTGAAATTAGGAATTTGTTAGTATTTGCCACCTAACATAGGTACTATATATTCCATGTTCTTGACTGAAATAGGCGTACCTGCTTAACGTCATTTGATGATTGACATGACACAGTGCTCCTTGAGAAAGTTCCTGGTATCTGCTGGCTATACTGGTATGGACTTTCCAACAGAGAAACAGAAATAATTATCAAATATGAATGTTTTTCATTTCAGTTTCCTTGGCAATTACAACCCTTGACATAAAGTACACATCATCCTCTCCCCCAACCTCAAGGGAAGAATGCTATGAATCATGAACATGAATATCTTATCATTTCTTAGCTATAACATCTTTAATGTAAATCAATATGTACAGCATTCATTTTTATCAACCAATCTCCTAGAGACTCGGATAGTTTGCTTCAGGCCTTTTGTAAGCATGTTATTTTAAAACTCATTAGTAACACCAACACACCAAGGTTAATGCCTTTAGGATGATAAGTAGTCATATTTCTGGAATTGACAGTCACCTACCAAATACTAAAGGAATGCCATTGTTACATGAGTTAGGCAGGCGATCTAGAGACCATGATTCCCAATGAAGTGGACCAGCCAAAATCTCATCCAAAATAGGATATTTGTAAGTAGCCCCTGGAAATTTGAATGTTTGAGTTTGTTTGAGCCCAAACACCTCCACCCATGACAGCCTCCTAAAAGCTCAGGCTCTCGTCCAAGGACACTAGAGGACATGCTACTGCCTGTGGTTAAATGGAAGGCATCCATCAGATTTAGAATAAACAGATCCTTTTAGTTTATATGTCAGTGTCCTTCCAATATTATCCTACTGAAAGAAGAAGCAAGAATATATAATGGTAGAAATTAAATAAAATTAGGGATATTGTATTATGGTTTAGGCTCTACAGGGATGCTGGTTACCCTTGAGGAGACAGCTGGCCATGGTTAAATTGATGAAATCACATTTTCTACCACCAAACTAAATTAAGATTACCATAACCACCACCATTCCACCCCAATCCCCAAGAGTCAGCCACCCTTTGAGACCTTTTCTGAAATAGCATGTAGTCTCACTCTTTAACATCTTTATTTTTATATAAGAATATCAGTGTTGATATAGACAATCTTTGCTCAAATCTTCCCTTAGTCACCCAGCATACATATGTGAGTGTACACACATGTGCTCATACACACATATCCCATTTGGAAATTTTAAAACTCATTGGTAACACCAATACAGTAAGTTTATTGTCTTTCTGATGCTAAGTAGTCATATTTCTGRAATTGGCAGACACCTATCAATTCCTGAAAAACATTCATTTCTGATACCTTCCTAAGAAATAAGATTGAATGAGAAAATACACAAAGAGAGACAATAAAAGACAAGATTGACAGTTCTGTGAAGAGACCTAAGACTCCTGACATGATTAACATGGTATCTTTCATCTCCTTGTGCTCAATAACTAGCTCCTAGCCTAGAATGGAACAGTACCAGCAAGGGAATTATGAGTTAATTTAGCTAAATTTTGAGTCTGTGGTGTTATGTTATTGATAAATACTCAGTTATATCAGTAAGAAGATTATGGATCTTCTATAGTGAAGATCCATAATGGAAAAAAAATAGATGACATTGCAGGGTATATGTGCATGAAGAAGCAAACAGAAGGAAATGCAGCAAAGCCTCTTCATCCATCACTGATGAAGAATTAGCTGTATGTTTCTAAATATGTGAGCTAGACCTGGGATTCTGGAACACTAGCAACACACTCCAAAACTGGCAAAGTCCAGGAAGATGTAGCGTGTGTGGTGTTCCAATTACAAGGAGTATTCTGTGAATGACAGTGAACTGGAGAACATTAACTAGAGTGACCATGTATTTTATCTTTCAGACTAGACACTAGTGGAAGTGAAAGTGGATCTGATTAAGAATCTATCCCAGGAAAACAAGCATAAGTCAGGACTGTCCCAAGCACACCAGCTATGTGGTCACCCTACCACAGGCCTTTCTAAAGGTAGTGTCCACTGCTCAAGACCTTCAAATGTTGCTATATAGGAATATAGGCTGTGTTAGAAACCTTTTGAACCTTCAAGAGAGAGTATAAATTCAGAGCTTTTCAGGAAATTTCTTGACTTTTAAACATTGGCAATTATTTCAGTTTTTTTAAACACAGTGTCATCTTTAAAAAGTTGAAGTAGATCTATTCATTAAAATATAATGCACTAAAGAATCATTTTGCCAAATGACCAATTTGTAGAAGTCACCAAATTAATGCTCACTAYAAACTTATTTTAAGAAATAGTCTTACCTAATATACTTAATTAATATGGATACATTTTCTTACCCATACATTCCTTATTAATATGTTGAACATTTTTCTTATCTTTAGAGAATTTTCAGTATTTCAAGAGCTAAAATCATAGAATGGTTGTTCTCCTCTATGTGTGATTGTCACTCTATTGTGCTTGAACATATTTTTTTCAGTATAACTTCCACTTCATTCAATCTGCTAACATTTGTCCTTTTTTATTGGTCCTTTTTAGTTTTACATAGAATCCATTTTAATATAATTATAGAAGCATAGAATATTATCTTATTCTAGTTAGAATTCCATTCTTGTGATGTAAATGATGCTGGGATTCACTGTGTTGTTTTCATATAAGTATTTGGGAAAATTATGTCAGATTCATTCCACTATCTTTTCTTTTCCTAACCACCCTCACTTCCAACACACCAGGTTTTATTGTCTCCATTCCCCATTGTCTAATCTACTGAATTTCTATTCTTCCTCCCCTTGTTATGAGTTAGCTTCCACATATTAGAGAAAACATTCAACCTTTTGCTTTTGAGAACCAGCTTATTTCACTTAACATGACCATCTCCAGATGCATCATTTGTTGACAAATATAATAAAGTCATTCTTCTTTATGCCCAAGTAATACTCCATTATGTATATGTACCACAATTTCTTTATCCATTCATCTTTTGAAAGGCACCTAGGTTAGTTCCATGGCTTAGCTATTATGAATTGAGCTGCTATAAATATTGATGTGGCTGCATCACTGTAGTTTGCTGATTTAAAATCCTTTCGATATATACCAAGGAGTGGAATAACCAGGTCAAATGGTGGTCCCAATTCAAGTTTCT